CCCCAAAACCCCAAAACCCCAAAACCCCAAAACCCCTTTACTCGATATTACACTTGAAATAATACTAATGGCATTGAGAAGAAAATGATGTCAAACTATTGATCTTTATAGAAATTAAATTCTCGCTCAATATCCGCTATATCCTTAGCTTCCTCTAGAAATCCAACAACCGATCCCTGCTTGTTCTTTGAGGAACTACTTCCACTTCTCATCAGAAGGCTGGCAGATTGGATTCCATCGGCCGAAGCATCAGGTATAGTTGGAATTCCAAGAATTAGGTCTGCATCCCGCTCAATTCTGTGTTCGTCCATATTTTTTAACTTGTCCAACAAGGTCGCGACTTTGGAATCGATCTTCTTTAGGCTCTCTTGTTTCGGTCATGGGAAATCACTTGGTTTCAAGAGAGAGGCCTCTTCCTCCTCTTTGTGTAGATAATTACTTCTAGAGTCGAAGTCCATCATCAATGCTTGGTGTTCCTTCAAAACTACACGTAGCAATGTCTTGAGACTCCGTATTGAACATAAAATTGACGGCAAGTCTCACTCTCCGCTTAGTTTACTTCTGAGCAGAGAGAATTCCGCTCTAGACTTGGTCTTTAGGAATGGCAGGCAAGACTTAAAGTAGTCTTTTGCAGAGAAGTCATATCTTCGCTTAGAGTTTATCTTTCTCTCAATTTTAGTAAGAAGACTGTTGCCGTCTGTGTTGATATTATTAGGCCCTCCTTTAGAAATCGGATTTTTAAATTTCTTTGGAGCAATCTGAAAATCTTTTCTTTTATTTTCCTTTTTACTTGAGTCAACTCAATATAGTTGCTTGAAAAGAGAGTAGTTGTATATTTTTGTAGAAAAATAATGAACAATAGCTCCTCCGATTACTGCAAGAACTTCAAAGAATCCTCCAAGTTGACCTGAAAGGTCGAGGATAGAATAAACTCTTCTTTCATAAGAGTCTACAATCGAATCTTGTCTGATTTCCAGGTCGATAAATATAGGATCGGTCATATCTCGAGTCTCTTGATCCTTCTGATAATTATCGATTGTCAGGAAGGAGTCTTCCTTATCATTCCCAAAGGGAAGTAAATCATCAGAGAGGGTCACTGTACTTCTCTTGACATATAATTCAGAATACTTCTTCAATCCTGAAGACATCTTGAAAATAAACTGGTCATCAGCGACCCTTTTAATAGGAGTTTCGAAATCATCAAAATCGAAGTATTTAGAACTGACAATAAAAGTGACAGTAAGTTCTCTTGCTTTAGCTTCAATATCACTTTCTGATTTACAGACAACGGAAGTCCCATTTACACATCTTCTGACCTTAATTTGAACTGTCTTCAAAGTGTTAAAGAAAACACTCCCGCCAACTGAGAAGTCAGTCTGAGTTGGTCAATAGCTTATTTGTGAAAAGAAGGCTCTAAACTCTTCTAACTTCTTATCAAGCAATGGAAAATTTTCTTTGCAGATAGCCATTGCCTCTTCTTTCAAATCTGCACTGAGAGCTCCAGATTTGAAATCATAGGAGTAACTTAGTTGGGCAATTGTCACATTAAAATAGCTTGGGTCTACAAAAGGAGTAAATGAGTCATCGGTTGCTATAAAGACAGCGAATGCTAAGTCTTCATGGCCAAAATCATAGTAATCAGAGACCAAGATTTGATCCCTCTCAATACTATTCTTAGCCTTGCTGGTAGCAGATCTGGTAAACATACGTATTGAGAGCTGGATTCCATATGTCATGATGCCTCAAACAAGTAATGCAGTTACGATACCTCCAAAGAAGGAGGTATATCTCTCCTTGCCTTGGTAAGTCAAACTGACCGGTTTATAGAACATGTCAATGGAGTTAACCCTAGCTTTTGTCCAATTCCAGAAGGTTTTCATGATGAGTAATAAATTTATAAATTTGGGTAAAATTCTGCCTTTTCTGTAACAGATCGTTCAGCAGGGGTTTTGGGGTTTTGGGGTTTTGGGGTTTTGGGG